TTTGCACCATTGTTGATTGTTGATTGAGTCTTTTCAATTTCCCCTGGGGACAAATAAAGTTTATTGAATTGAATTTTAAACATCGTCAAAAAAAGGTAAAAAGGAGGACATTACAAATCAGTGACACGGCAGCAAACTGAAAAAAACACATTCTCAAACTGACAAAAGTAGCTACGTGGCATAAAGAAAAGCTGAGTTTTCCTGCATTTGCATTTCTTAAGCTGCTGAGTTCTCAGGGCCGTCCAGGTCTGACTTCACTAAGGATCATGTGTGTTACGAGTGTGGTGAGTGTGGAGTAGATTTGGTTCTGATCCCTGCTGGCTGGATTGAGGCTCTGGTAGGTGGCGTCTTCACCTGTGGAGACTGGACCACAGTTCTCATAGAGGGCAATCTGAAAAATTTGAGTACAGCCATTACTCACTCAGGTCCATCACACTGTAAACGCCACAAAGAGCCCATCTATTATGACAGCTTCTGTTTCACCTGCTTTCATTCCTCATGGTATTTTCTCACAGAGGTTTCTTTGATTGGTCTTTCTAGAACGTGAAAACTTTATGACACATAAGTCTGAGTCCTCACTCAGCTGTGAGAGAGGAAAACACAAGCTCAAGAAATAAATGATGCTGTTTGGAACAGATGAAGTGTTCATGTTATAGGAGGGTGCATGTTTAAAATGATAAGATTTTTATTGAGTATCATAAGTAAATAAACAAATAGATTAAGGTAACCTGCACAATAGTACACTTTAATTAAATATTTTTCTTGTCATTTTCTTGCACTAAAGAGTCAGTAACTACAAATAGGACGAAGATGTGGAGTTTTACTCATGGAAAACACGACAACCAGACTTTGAAATTTAACATAGAAAAGCCACGTCCTCTGCTTTGGGACATTTTGTCATGATCGTATTTGAATCTTGTAATTGTAATTTTAGCTTTACAGTGGTCATCATAGTCAAGAGTGAGAGTGAACAGAGTTAATGAAAGTCACCTCTGTTTTTGTGCCGTCTGAATCTCCTCTGGCCTCCGAACCTGTGGAGCAGACAAAGTATGTGTCTCTGTTATAATGAGTAATTAGTAAAAGTGCAGACGAGGATGGACGGTCGGTGTTGGTGAGTTCAAGCAACGGAAAACAGCCAATGACAAGACAGCAGCTGGAGTCACACTCAGAAACAAAAGCTAACCTTCCTGTGACAGTGACAGCTGTCTGGACATCCATATGTTTGTTACAAACAGGAAGTACTAAAAGCTAATTCAGCATTATTTTAATAGTGCCACTTTGCCATCCACTAAAGCCCCGCATTAGGGAACTGTAGTTTCTGAACATGATTATTTTCAGATTTAAAGTCTAAATTCAAAGACTTTGAAAACCTCTGCACTAAACTGTATATCTAAACATCTGGCTGAGTCAAAAAGAGATATTGCTCATAAACAGATCTCATTTGCCCAGAACTACCAGTCTTTGGCAAAAATGAAAATGTTTCTCCAGTGAGTGATTCAAGCATCATTTCAGTCATTAAGATGTACTATCCTTTAAGTTGTGCAGCAGCTGTACAGTCCTGCTAATGTAAACTATAAACTAAATTAATGAATAACTTTGGAAAACATTGATGTACAAAGACACAACAATTAAAATGTTCATTTTTTGTGAGAAATGGGAGTTTCAGTAGTGTGCGCACAGTTGTGTGTGTGCACGTTTCCTGTTACGGCACCCTCAGGTTTAGATTTCCTCTTTCTGCAGAATATCAGCGCAGCCACTGATAACAGGACGACCATGACGGCCAGACTCAGGCCCACATACAGCATCACACCTGTGGTAGTTTGAGGAGAAGAACAAGCTTATTTTACACCGACACTCCCTGATTGATCATATGATATATATGATATTAATGTTATGTACTGGACTCTCAGGTATATGAGGCTCCTGATGGCATGCATACAGCACACTACACATATTTCATTTCTATAAATCTTGGACATTATAGCAGCAGGCTGGAAGCAGGGGGAACAGCTAGCCTGGCTTTGCCCTAAGGCAACAACATCCACCTACAAACACCTCCAACTCTCATTAATTAACATGTTATAATTCAATTGTTGAATCCAAACAGAAACCAATATGTAAGCTCGGCTTCCCGGCAGCTGCTGTAGCTTCACGTTTAGCGTACAGACATGAGAGTGGTGTCCATCTTCTCATCTGACTTGTGTCAAGAAAGCAGGTGTATCTTCTTAAATCATCAAACTATTTCTACACAGCTTCTGTGGCCACGTTGTCAGTGTGTACATCATTTCCTAGCTGACTCAGGACTATTATGACCACGACTGAAATGTTCCATGCTGTGAGAAAATGT